TCCTCAAGAGGCCTTTAAACCTCGCTTCATAATGCATTGATCCCCCGCCAGTGATGCCGAATGATGCAACCGTTTCCTCGGTGACTCCCTCTTCCCTGAATATATCACCCCGATGCAACGACAAATGATCTCTGAAATGGCACATCGGACCCAAAGAAAAACCCCGAGACAGATGCTGAGTTAAATGGACATGCAAGCAAAACAGTAGAGAGAATGGAAAGTGGGTCTGCAATGATAATCACACAGCCATGCAACGCATAAGAGCAACACAAAAACGTCCAGATTAAAAGGGTATCGCGGATAAATCAAGGCACTCAAGTGCCAACACAGACATACAGACACGCACACACACACAAGAGCTAGAACACAAGTAGTAAATAACACCAAGAACCCGCCTTCTCGGGACTTCCATGCGTCGCCCCAGATAGTTAACAAAAGGTAAAATCCGAAGATGTGAGATCATGCTTTCCATGTGAGCCCGCCTGTGGCTTCCGTTTTGCGACCGTGATGCGCCTCAGGCTCCCATAAGACATCAGGAAAGGATAAAAAGAAAATGCAAAAAGAGGCAGCCAAAGCTGACAGAACGCCAATCCCATACTTGCACATGAATGGAAACAGAATATGACAGCGTAATAGCAAAAGGAGATGTAGACAAGCCCCTAAGGGGCACAGCGAAGACTAGAAAGAGTGGAAATGACCTCACACTGTGCCGAAATCCCCTGAGGAGGGTGCTAAGGAGGCAGCGAAGAAGTAGATGCCGCTGACACTGTTGGCGTCAGAGTCGGAGACGTAGGAGAATGGTTGTCCTCTGAGCTCATCGGGATCTCACTACCCTTGTCGGAGAAAGAGTCCTTCTCCCGCTCCGTGGATGACGAGCGCTTGAACACGGTTTGACCGATTTGACGGAGAAGACCCAATCGCTCAGCGCGAAGGTCATCGGGATCGATTCGTCCAAAGTAGGCGGGAGTGATACCATCCTTAGTAATCTTGCAGAACAGAGTTGAAAAGAGATATTGGTCGCCGCCTGCATCATACAACGGCAGATAGCGGTATCCTTGAGAAAGGCTGGTAAGTTTGGCAGTAAAGGTGGCCAACTGGACACTGCTGTTGTTCCCTGCACTGCGGCCGTCCAGCGAGCTCCAGACCGTCCAACGGACAAACACAAGGTCGGGATACTTCGTGTCCAGCGCAAACTTGAAGCAATCATTGAAGATGGGGCTGTACCCATTGCTCTGCTCGATTTTCGTGCGCCGACGGTGCGGATAGCCAATGCCTGACACGCCACTGCGCGCCGAAGTGTTCAGGCCACCTTCCCCAAATACGAAGCTCTGACCTCGATCATCGGCACTAAATATCTCAACCTCCACGTACGGATTGATATTATCGTCCGGTCCAAGGCTGCGAGGGCGCGGTAGTTGCTGAGCAGAGACGACTTCGATCGTAAACCGAACGCATTTCCGCTCCGTGCTCTTTCTTCTATCTTCGCCAGTGGTCACTGTGCGAAGAGACTCGGGCTTAAGTACGTAGCCTGTCCGATCAGTCCCGGCGGCATACATGGCTTGGTTCAACTGCATTCCAACATCGTAGGTTTGCCAGTTCAAAGCGGCCATCTGCACTCCGCGACGCCAGAATTTGAGGGGATCGAAGTTAGAGGACCTCAGACGGAAGCCAGATGGATAGACCCTTGTCAGATACTTTCGATTGTGCTTCTCGAAAACAGCTTTGTTATCTGCATCGCGGCAGATACTCTCGAAAGAACGCTCTGCGAACGAGTACACGTGGTTATACCGCTGGCTTTCCGGGGACGTGAAGCTATGCCATTTGTAGCCTCGAGTATACACTCCCAAGTCCGACAATGGCTTGGTTATCTTGCTCTTCTGGCGTCGTTTCCGTTCCCTTTTCATGGACGTCAATGCGCCATCACTGTCTTCCGTGGCGCTGCTTATGCTGGTGGTTGTGAAGGACCGTCTATCCTGGGAAAGGAATGTATCGATACCATCCTGGCCAGCCGTGGAAGGCCCAGCAAGAGGTACAAGGTTGGAAACTGGAGGGTACTCAGGCACCGTCGGGTGCATAAATGGGGAGCTTGAGCTGCGCTTTCGACCGACGCTGATCGACGAACCCGTAGACTCTTGTCGCATGCCACCTTCTGTTTCATCGCAAGTTTTGACTTTCACAAGGATGCGACGCTTCAAATCCTCGGGCGACGGAAGGACGAACGTATTTGTAAGAAGGGGTTCCAAGACTAATTGGTCTTTGAAGGTCTCCTTCATGATTCTCACCATGGCCAGTTGTTGCTCGGGATTGCAGTGAACTTCGAGAGAGAGGATAAGCGGAAAGTCGGTGCTGATGAATGCGTATCTGTTGATGACTGTGATGCAGTCGGCGAACAGGACGCTGGTAGTCATGGTCCTTCCGTGAGAGACAATGGGTCGGCCATCAGCTCCGTCCCAGCAATCGATCTCCACACAACGACACCCTTGGGACAAAGCGCTGATGTATGCCTCGGTGCTGGACGCACCAGCTACCTGGCGACCTAGGAGGTACGTATTGTGCGAGCTGGAGATGAAGTATTCGTTCAATGGACGATCAAACCTGGACTGAGGGGCGCGGGAGGCATAGACCCCATTCCAAGAAGAAGATAGAAACGAGGTGAAAGCATCAAGACCCAGACGCGGAACTCCAGTGGGTCTTCCGTCCGGATGCTCTGGAAGACTGGGTGCACGGGGCCTTGATTTGCGCACAAGCCGATCAAAAATAGATACCCAGTAGCTTCGGTCAGACTCGACATCTTCGTTCTGCACGTCACGAAGGAATGCTAGGAATTCTTCCAAAGTAAAGCCTTCAGAACTTGCAACACGCTCTTTGAAGATAGCTTTGACATCTTTCCGCTCCTTCAAGCGAGCAACAAAATCACTGAACTCGGAGAAGTATAACTTGCCCTTGTTGTTATTGTCCGCCTTGGAGAATTGGGCGCGGAGCATATTCTTGGAGCAATTGATGTGCAAGCTGCGGCATACACTCTCAACCGCCTCGAAATCCAAGCTCTCGGGCTCGCCGAGCTTTAAACCCTTTGGATATAATCTGGTCATCTCACGCTGCCAGTGGGCTTTCAAGACCGCCTCACTCTGGCCAGAACCAGCTAGGCCAGCCATAAGACCAATTCTATAGCGTGAGATGTGTTCCAGGGTTGTCGTCCAAAGCTCAAGGGTATAATCACTCGGCGCAATCAGGTGCAGTGTCTTGACAGACCGTCCCTTCGATCGTTCTGCGTCGGCGATGACAACGGTGATCCATCTACTTTCGAAATCCTGTGAAACCTGATGTTCCTCACGATAATTGCGCGCATCGACACCCACGCGAATCTCCTTAATGTCATCGACATAAAACCTTTTCGTCGGATTCGAAAGATCCCAGTAAACTTTGCCAGCGTCGAGATCGAGAAAGAAGCGCACTTGCTTCCGTCGTTTCTTGGTGATTTTCGTGAAGATTACGCCGCGCTGAATCATTGCATCAACTTTCGGTGCAACTGCACTAACCGTGCGAGTAGGGGGAATAAACATCTCGTTCTGCAAGCTAGAAGCCTCAGAGCCACACCAAACTCCCAGAGAGTCCAGAGCGTCATTGCTGTCTTCTTCATTACTGGACTCAAGCGCACTTTCCCAGCTATTTTGTCCAGTTTTGCTGTCACTGCGTCTGCGCATGATAACGGGACCGGAGCTACGGTCCCGCTTATCATTTTGGGTCGCGGATTGCCGCCTCCGAGTGAGCTTGTTGGCTGCTCCTCGGGAGATTCTGCGCATCAATCCTGGGCCTTTGTTTGTCGTTTGAGTTGCCGCATCTCCCGACCCGGAAGCACTAGCACTCCCAGGAACAGCCATGATTGAATCTCCAAGCTCAAGATGGGCTGGGGGTATCAGAGGGAATGAGGGTATTCGACCACGGAGCGCGTCAGTAGCCGATTGTAGAGGGGTGCCGGAAGGGCTCGAAGCATTTGAGAAGGTGTATGAAGGACGTAATGAGTTAGGTGTATATGAGTAAAGAGAGGCACAGGGCGGAGCGGAGGAGGGATTGGGGGCGGGGGGAACAGATGTGTTGACATTATGTAGTTTTGGAGGTTTCGGGAGTGAGCCAGTAAGTTTTAAACTTGCTTGGGTGTCGCCATTTATGGTTGAAGGCGACGAAGCAGCGGCGTAAGCCATTGCGGATACCTGCCAGACGTACCACCCGGCTGCAAACGTGAGACTGTAGACCTGTCGTGAACCGTGCCAAAGCTGGAGTCACCTGGACTCTTCAGGGGACGAATGAACAGCGACGTGCAGTAACTAGGCGGCCGTGTTGACCCTGATATGGCGGCCTATAACAAGAATGCAATACGAGCCGAAAAGGGGAACGTGTCTGGCTGAGCGATGCAAAAGCCACTTGCTTAGCGGGATTGCTCTGTCTTTGATATCTGCATCTTGGCCTGCCTCTGATGCAATGCGGAGAGCCCTGCCGGAGAGCGCTCGCGAGAGTACGGGATCCGGGTTCCTGATAACAATTGAGACAGATACTGGCTTCGTGTAACAATGGCACTGCGTGGGTGGGGGGGAAAGGCTCTTTGATCGCTTGTCTTGCCGTCAACCCAAGTAAAGCCAAAAATGATGAATGACTTGGCACCCTCAGCCTTGGTCTCTTTTTTCTTTTCCGGAACCGATTTTCGTCAGGTTTTCCTGATATGATCTGATTTGCCCGCGTTGTATCCTATTCTGGTGCCCTAATTTTACCCCTCCTTGGTTGGCGGATCTCCTAATACGCGGGGAAAGCTGTCCCTCTGCAGCAAATATGCGAGGACGTGTGGAGCTCGAACCAATTGGCCGTAGTTGGTGCCGGCGGGTTGAGGTTCTTTTCCTGTGGGAGGCAGGAGGACCGAGGAACCCCCAAAGGCGAGTATCGAAAGGTAATGGGAACAGAAATTGGTGAGCGAAATTATGCAAGTCAATATCCGTATGCGCCGCGCATGTGCTTAGCTGTCAGCAGAGCCCCTCCGAACGTAGCTTCTACAGACGCCAAAGGGTGTGTGTGTGTGGGTGGGTGTGTGGAAAGGGTAAAGGAAAAAAAAAAGATATTATTGTTGGAATTGAGCAAGGAAATTCGGCCTTCGCGTCGATTGGCGTCACTCGCCGTCCGGAGACTAGAGAAAGGCTGCGCAAGAAGGGAAAATCGGCGACGAGGATCGGGAGAGCAAATGCAGGATTGCCTGCCAACGCAGTGATGCAGGTGGTCCAAAGGGGAAGGGTGATAATTTGAGCAATCGGAGATTGGACCGACAAGAGTAATCCTGAGGGTCGCGATTGTCTAGTGTGGTCCGATATGTAGCTTTTCCAGTTTGCTGCACGGTTACGTGGAGTGTAGTAGAGGACCTGCAGCAAAAGGCGCCAGGATGTGTGAGTAAGAGAGTTGATCATGCGACGGAGGAAACAGTGCCAGCGTTGTCCTTCGCCCGAGAGAGAAATTGGGATCTCCACTTGCGGAAGTCGAGGGAGCGAAAATGTCTGGAGTAAAGAGTGTCAACAAAAAGCTGGGGAGAGGGGGGAAGTCTTGGTGTTCGCCCTCTTAAGAGTCTCCCATCCAGGCGAGTGCGGTGTCGTACAGACAAGACAAGGGAGAAGTTCGGAGGGAAGGATTTTGGAAGTCGATTTCGAAGAAACCGATGGATGTTTCAATTGAAAGAAAGCTGGAGTGGGTACTTACTGACGTACTCCGTACCTGTGGTTTGGTAAGGTACGTATTTTTGTATTTTCAACTGGGAATTTCTGGTTACAAACTCCCACGCGTCTGCCCCTCGTCATATAACCACAAGTTAGGACCGTTTCCCACCCCACGTCAGACCAAGCCCAAAGATGGTAATCGGTATTCGGATACGGAGTAGTAGGGAACACTGTTCTTTTTCCTTCCTCTTCTAGCCTACCTGCGGGACCCGCACCGCAACAATAATCTGGGAAGCCAAGTCCTGGATGTCTTAGGAAGGTCTTGAAAAAAACGCGGGCTCCGGTTCTCTGGTACCAATGAAAACGCTCAGGTAATGATGATATAAGATCAGGATAATGATGATGGTAGTGGGCGGCAGTGATGATAACAGAGGCGTTTTTTTTTGTTGCGTTCTTGATATGCGTCTAGCCCCTGTGAAAAATGCGCAACGTCCTGTCAAGGAAATTTTTCCTGTCAAGCAAACCCAGGAGTACAACTTGGTGATAGCAGCAATGAAGTAGCCAAAAGGAAGAAATTCCAAGTCCTATATACTGTTGGCTAAGGGCTAGGAAAGGGATAGAGAGTATTATTAACCTTTAGTTCAGGTATGCCAATAAGGTAGTCTAATCAAACTGGGCCGTCATTGCTGGGCACCTGCTCCAAGATCAAAGTCTGTTAAACGGGTGAGCTGTCCACGACTCCACGAAGCATAGCAACGGCAGCCCAAGCGATAATGAGACTAGCCGCGATCATGAGATCCTATGAGGCTCCTCCAATCTACCCTCTGTCCTCTCTTCTGCCCTTCTACGAAGGCTGATTGGCATTCAGGGATAATATTGGGAAATAACTGCTGCCCTTTTCTGTTTCTTTTCCCGTTTCCTTTTCCTTTCCTTTCTTTCATTCTTTTCTTTTCTTTTATTTTTTTATTTTATTCTTCCAATAATATCCTTTTCTGTTTTCCTTTCCCTTCCGAGTTCTCCCAACGTTCGATCTCCCTGCATTTATCCACATCCTTACTATCTGGGCATCATAGCGTCTAATCCAACATTTTGTTACGGAGGAATCCATGTAGTATGTAGTCACGAGGATTCTGCTCTTCAACGCAATCGGTAAAGATGCTCAAGAGCTGTTCGCTCCACTTCCTACAGTAAATCATCCTCTTGGAGATCGTAGGCGGTGGCACAGTGAACGGACATGATCTATTGGATGATCATCTCCTTGTCGATGGTATCACTGTCAATCGTGGGGGCAGGCAAGCTGATAGGTATGTTGTTTCACCTTTTTCGGGAGGCGGCGGATTGGGGGGGAATCGTTTGGACAAGGCAGAAAAGGGAAAGAAAAAAAAAAAAATGGGGGGGAGAAGACGAACAGAGAACGTTAGTTGCTATGGAAGGTCGGTGGATACAATCCCCTCTTCAATCTCATCCCATAGCTAGTTGTAACGAGCTCTTTTCTCAGGCAAGAAGGTTAGCTTCCCCACGGATAATCCGTCCTGCATACACAGATACTCGGTACGGAGTACGGAGTTATCCACGTATCTGCCATCACTACGCGGGAGCAGGAGAATCCGAAGCATGCCTGACTGTCGATCCGCAAACACTATTACCGTGTTATCATCATTATTGATGTTACAGATCCTTCTTGAGGCACCGGCACGGCGGTCCCTATGGGGAGATATGTGGATCTTGGATTCCCGCCCGCTGGGGTCTCCCTTCGTTTCCCGTTTCTGGGTTTTGATGCCAACCTGCCTTATCCCTGTCACCCGAATTTTCCAAAAAGCCAGAGAATACAACGGGACTACTGTAGAGACTGCATGCAATAGCAAGGCCCCCTCCCCCAGGACGCTAGTTGCATGTACGACCGTGAGAAGAATTGGGCTCTTCCGACAATCGGGGGATTGTCACCTGATGCATTCAGACTAGGGATGTGCAGACCGCCTAAAACTTAAATACTATTTTTTGCTGGCAATAGTTGTCTTGTCCCGTTTCGTCATAGTGCCCTTTAATTTCCCTTGAGATGCAATCATGTTTCTTTCCCTCTAGGTATCGCGAGGAAAAGGGGGGCGGTAAAAAACCAACAAAAAAAGAAAAGAAAAGAAAAGAAAATTACGGAGAAAAGGAAGATAAGGGAGTTGGGCAATGTATGATTGCTGGTGCCGCTTTATCCTTACTCGACATTACTGTGGAGCTTGTGAGTGGTTCACTTGCATTTTCTAGGTTCGTAGTTGGTACAAGAATGCAAGCGCAAGAGAGAGAAGGAGGGGCGGTAATCTGTCGGTAAATTAAAGAGCAAGAAGATTTTCGATTGAGTCATCCCAGCCCTGTCCTCATTCAACGCGGGGGAGAAACGCGGCTAGTACCGTCGTAGTAATATTACACGCGTGTTTGCAAAGCTGAGGCTGAGGCAAGAGTGGCAGTGAAACCAGTCGGGGCGGTGCGGAAAGGGGGAAGGGGCCGGAAAGTGGAAACGCAGCACGGGATGGATGAAGTTGCCTAGGACTGCCACGGCTCCATCCCACGGTAAGAGATTGGAAGGTATCAATGATGCTTCGAAGCATGTAACCTGATGGGAAGATAAATCGGCACAGATGAAAATCAACGTTTTCTTCCTTGTTTACGGTGTGCTCCAAACACATGGATGCTTTCGAGCTCGTGGTGCATGTATTCTGGGCGAAATTCTTCAGCACATTCGCCAAGCTGTCTGAAGTCATTGGCCATTGGTAGCGCGCCCATGCACCTAGTAGGGCAATGCTTGGAGTTCCTCATGGCGCACGCTTCTGGACTACGACACCTTGATACCCAAGGTAGTACCAAGGCGGCGGCGGCAGCAGCAGCAGGAGGAGTTTGAAGAAGCGGTCAAAGAGCTTCTCTATTTCTCTCGAGCGGATAGAGAGGACAAAGACAATAGGCAGCTTATGGTAACGGCCGTGAACGGGGTAATAATATCACGGGTCCATCCAAACAGAATTCACTCAATGTGGATCTTACATTTCGAATCCATTTCTTCTTTCTCAAGTATCTGCCCTATGACACCATGGACTTGGGTTTTCCGTGGCTCCAGCTCCGGTCGCTCGAATTTCAATGACTTAGGCGAAGTAGTAGACTCTAACAGGCACTAGCAGATCAAACTACAGGCACTTATGTACCACCTGCCTACCAAGGTATTGAATGGACACTGCATGGCCCCCCTACATGTTAATGGACTACTTAAAATCCTTGGCCAGGATGAGATGGTGGTGATGAGACTGCCAATTCCGCAGTAGCCCGTTTGCTCATTCTTGATGGAAGGCAACCGTGAATAGTAAGCTGCGGGGCGTTTTCCCAACCCCGCACAAAGCTGAGCCATTTTGCTGAGTTGGCGATGCTGCTATCGTCGTCCTATCATCTAACCATCAGCCAATTCAAGTTTTTTACACTCAATCTATCCCTGGCCCTGCCATTGAATGGTGGGCTCGCGTTCTGACCACGGCTCTTTGAATCTAAAAAGCATTTCCCCGCTCGTCTCAGAACATTCCGTATCGGCCACAAAGGATCATCTACTTGGCATCAGTAGAGACACACTGGCTAGATGCTAGCGACTGATACTGTCATGTATTTTGGGAATTCACATCTGCCAGGATAATACTCAACATGGAGGTCCAAACTCTCAGCCTGGGCATTCACTGTCGATAGTGAAGCAGATGAGGGCTTCTTCATATCTATTGCGGTCAAATAGGCTATCGTGAGCTACCTTGCAACCACAAGCGTATCGGCCGGGCCGTCCGCGGATTACCTAGCCTTTCCTGAAATAGGAAATTTATCCCTCCAATGATGGAGGCTATGGTGATGCAAATGACCATGTGCGGTGGCAGGGTGTCAACGCTCTTGACTCCTACAGGAGGAGGGTGTGGGTTTCGAGCAGGTAATCATTTTGAGAGCCACGATATCAAACCCCGATCTTGCTCCGACCGATCCGTCCTAGATTGCAATGTATCGCGGCTGTGGCGGAAATATTCCTTTGTGATCACGGGACACCCAATCGGTTTCAAACGAACGCTTTCCAGCTGACGACGCAAGGTGGTATGCGCCCTTGATAATGAGCAGAATTCATAGGCTATCCCATTCATGCAAAGATAGCGCCGCGAAAGAGCGCTGAACTTTCTTGATAAGGAAAGATTGTAACGTTACTATAGTAGCGTCCGATTAGGTAGCTGAGTAAGTGCAGTGCGTGCTTGGAAGATATCCATACCATCATGGTGCATTTCGTATGCATGCACATACAATAGGCAGTTAGTGGGCTGTATTGAAATCCAAGACCCTCCCTTTTGCAGCCGCTGATGCTGCTGATCAGAAAGAGGGGAAGCTGAAGGATGACCCATGCTTTAGGTTATCGCCGTCTCGCGTGCATTGATGATTTTGACCGCTTCCTCTTCCCTGCGTTTGGTTCCGAACTAAATGCCTATGGATCAGGCAATAACCACCGTCCCAAGTTGAGATATGGAATCCAGTCAAGCTGGCTATGTATTACTTAGTCTACGGAGCAAAAAATGGCGCATCAAACGGGAATCGGTGAAGGAGGAGATGGATTCAGTCAAATTAGTTGACAGCTGCCAAAGTCATCATGATGGCTATTTACTACTTTAAACGTATGTTTAGTGACTACTCAGAATTGCTTGACTGCCCACGCACGTATTAGTATGTCAGTCGCACATATCCCCTTAGTAGGAAATAGACTCTTCTTCAGCTCCCCTGATACCTGAAATAAATTCCTTTTTTTTTTCTAATTGCAAGAGATAGAGGAAGGGAATAAAAATTCAAGGTATGGCCGAAAAAGCTACCTATCTACAATCAATAGCCAGCTAGAACAGCATGCTGACTAGTGCTGATTCCGTATTACTGCGAATTCCATGTTCAGCGCTTTAACCTAATTTTATTGAGTAGGCGCTGCAAGTCGGGTGCTGAATGCGGTTGAAGGTGGGGTGACTGCTCAGTGTTCACACGTGCAGACCTCATAGCAATATCATTGGTTCATAAGGAACATTATCGCATGCCAGACTGTCAACTACTTACTACTACGGAGTAGTACGAGTACTACTTAGGTACTTACTTCCTACTGCCTAAATCAATTCACAACCAAAAGGTACGATGCTCCATTGTTACTTGCCAAAAGAAAGTCCCACACTGCGGGAAAGTATGATGGGAAAGATAAAAGAAAAAAGGAAAAGAAAAAGAAAAAAGAGAGGAGTATTACCTGCTTGTAGCCAGCATTGTTTCCGTGCTTGCGCGTACTTGACCATTACATACATTTCAAGCAGTCTCACTGCACATAATTCTTCGTGAAAGAACTTATTTGCGTACCTATGCAGCGCCAGGGGTAACGGACAGCTATGGCTAATATCCGAAGTTGAGCCTTCTAATGAGTGCGGTCTACATAGAGCTTTGGTAGTTAAACACTATAGTACTACTATAACTTGATGTAGTATCTACTAATTACTATTCCATGCAGACTGCTTTCTGTCTGAAAGGCAAACTCGGCAACTGGCCGGGGGAAAAAGAGTCATACTGGGCAACCAACTTCACAGGGATGATTCCAAGCAGCCACTGCGATTGGATAAGACCACTGCCTCGTGGGGCTGTTTTCAAACGGCGACCCACTCTTGACAGGCTTCCAAGCCTTCGATTGCGGTTTCCTTTCGCCCAGGATCTTGCACCCGAGAACTCCTTGCTACGATCACACAGGCTGATGATGCAGTATGAAGCGACCCTTGCTACCCCTTATGCTTATGTTTTACTGCACTAGGCTTTAGTGTGTGGTGGCCGCTTTCAGCCGTAGTAACAAAGGAAGAGTTAGTGACCATTCATCATGTCTAGTAATTGACTAGAGCCTTCCTAAATCCCCCTTTACACCTAAAAGCAGGATCTAGTTGATTAATGCAATCCTCTCAGAGCCATGACTGAAAATCGAAGCATCTGTGCACATTTTACTACGTAGATCCTTACTAATACTAATGGGGGGGGAGCAGCACAGTAACTACGCTAGAATTTGTCACTGGTCAGATTCTTACTTTACGCAAAGAACCGGGTGAAACTATGACATCATAGTACTGAGGGCTAGTCGGAGACGTGCGCCAGAACAGCTTTGTCGAGTCGGTCAACCAGAGGGGAGAAAATGGCGCAGGAGCTCAATGTTACGAGCAAGCCTGAGATACATCTCTAAAGATATTTGAGAAATATAAGAACGGAGCGGTCATTGAATCACCCAGTGAAATGGAGATATCAAAGGCTGATCATGTTTCCGCCTTGCCGATGCTACAGTATGTCTCGTATTCAGGGTCTCGTTATCGTACAGGTAATAGTCATGGCTCGTTTGTATTGAATAATTCACACCCCGGGTGAGTTACCTTACTGTAATGTCTCGGGTGGTTGCCCTACTCTTCCTATGGGATGGGAAGAGCATGTCCCATCCCATAGCCCACGATCCATATCGTCAGACCAGAGCTCCCTTGTTAGTCCTCCTCCATCTCTCCTTTTATAGACCTTTGCCAAAACCCTAAGAGATCTCGTCTAATATATCAAATTCTGTGGTACGATATGTCATAGAGAAATTTTCACTTGTCTAAACAAAACATTAGGAATTCGATTCCCTTCAGAGTATATCTTGTTACCTGCCATCCATGTCATCTATCATGATGGAAATGTGGAAAGGTTTTCGGTTGCTGTGGCCGGCTGCAGTATCTAGGCTGGGTACCCAAGTAATTAACTTCAATGTCCTGAAGTTCAAAGAGAAGGCGGCCGAGAGAGCCGTTCCAACTGAGTGGAACGTTGCGCCCCCTATGCCGGGGTCTTCCCTTGATGGGCCGTAGTGGTTTCCGTGGCTGGTTAATAACAGATGATACTGGTATTACCGCCCTACAATGAAAAATACTGTTGCTCGTTACGAGCTTTCATACATTCACGGTACAATTTATTACACAGAGCATCATCATTAGTAACAACCACAGTACCTTGAGCATTTTGACTTTGGCATAGTGAGTCTTGCCGTACCTTAATCCGTCTTCGGCCTCGTTTCTTTTTTTCCCTGGAACTCTAAAGTTAATAAACCTGTCGCCTGCCACAGGCCACCTGTAGAACGAGGCTGCATATCCTGTGCGGCCATCCTTGTAGGTATTGGGGGAGCAGGCAAGGCTATACCAGCAAGCAGTTGGCGATAGAGGGGTAAGATGCAACTCCTTTACTTCCTGTAAGAGTGGACACAGTCTCAGCTGAGCCTCGTCGAGCCTGTTCCTTCGATGCGTCTTCGATGCTTCAACCTTCTTCGGTCTTTCCAATCCCCGGTCGCACGGCGCATGCTGCATGGTGTCATTTGGCCAACGCCTCAGTCTTGATCCCAACAATGCCGCTATCCGGCTCTGTTATGGATAATCCTTCCTATCAGCCAGCCAGCCAGCCAGCCAGGCAACGTGTTGTGGCTTGCTGATAGTCGAATGAGTCCTTCCAATTGACTATGCAGCACGCACGGGCAAAGGCCCTCCCTCCACTGCCAACTCCATTCATTATCAATTATGAAGCCTCGTGATTGTCAATAGTTTGGTTTCTTTCCCTCTTTCCTCTCCGTCTTTCTCTCCCAACCTCAGCCACTGGTCGTATCAGCACCACATTGGGATATAGTTCTTTTGACTGTCTTGATGCATCAGCCTGACTCCCGTCGCTCAGTATACCAGCGTGTAACTCCTGCGTCTGGTGAGATGTTAGAAACATTACTTGTGACCTGGGCCAAAGACACTTTTTTTTTTTTTTTTTTTTCTTTTGTCGGGACCGGACCCCGATCAGTTCTGAGACATTCTGACTTGGCATATTCTATTCGAATGATCGGGGATCTTGCGCCGTAGTCTGCGTGCCGTACAAAACATCCGGGCTAGGCGGGGACGGGACAGCAACTATTCTTGCATAGTGCTAAAGGAGACCCTGGTCCAGGTCCCTGGCCCCAAATTGAGGCTACTACTATTGGCATCGGCCGATTCGGCCCACTGCAGTGGCAATACGATATCCCAACCAACAGACTTGTTCGACCGCAAATCTGAATTCAATGGCTTGTAGGACTACTACTAAACAGGCTTAGCCTCAACTGCTAACTTCTTCTAGGTATGTACTATCGGTTGTCTCAACTCATCGAGATCGTCCAAAGATTTGAACCAGGAATCATCTATCAAATATCGTTGCGGATATGTGAAGTTCTTGGGTCAAATAAGTCAATTGTGTCCTTGACACTGCCTCAACCTCACAGTATGCACCCAGCTATTATGGCTGTTCAATCATGAGTCGCACCGTTACTTATCCCTATACCGGTCAAATACACGCGGAGCAGATGGCCCTTATGTTTGGAGTGCACCGCATCACAGAATGCGAGGGTCGCGTTGCTTAGCCACTGAACGATGAAGAACTTTCTGTTCTATTTCGCATCTGTGTCCAATATTTATAGGAATATCGTACCATTTCAAGCCACAGCGGCAAGTGATGACCTATCGAGACCCTCAAAAATGGAGCATATTCCATATGGAAAGTTGATTGTCTTGTAGTGATATCATGAATGCATGCAGAAGCCGGATCGCCATGGCTGCCAGCCAGACACTTTGGGAAATGGGGAAAAGGACGTCACATATTTCCTGACTGACAATAAAATCCCAGATGAGCTCAATGCTTCTGTGAACTTGATTTTGTTCCGTTTCCTGGAGTGATGACCTCAAAGGACTGCCCTCATATGTCATTCAACTCTTGCTTTGGTCTTCTCATTCTACATTTAATGCGACGAGTGATTCATGAGCACTGTCACTAGTAGCCCATTTTGCTGGAAAATCAGATATGAAATGGAGAAAGTGCAAACTAGATTGGTAAGTCGTCCAGAAAATAGCATATCGAGTCCGCTTTCTGAATTGAAATGAACAGATAGTAGGCGCACAACGACTATTCTTGAATTTCGGACGTCTTGTAGGTACAACGCTTGTGGGGTTACGGAACAAATCATCTGATTCCCTTTCTTACAAATTGGATCTTTCATGGGGTTTATTATTTAAAAACAGAAAAATTGGTACATTTGCCTACAGCAACTGATGTGGTTGTGTCGCGTCCAACCTGGTCTTGAATAAGAACAGGTCACCAAGGAGATTTTATGAGAACATTCTTCTCCGCTCTAAGCACCCAGTGGGTTCTCACATCATCCACACAATTGACCTCCAGACTCCCCACCGGAAGTGCATTTCATGGATTCCAATGATGCTGTCAAGGTTCGTAATGGCTCGGCTGCCCCTCTTAAATTGCGAAACTTCTCTCAAACAGACAAGGCCGAATACTCCCCACCCACAACAATGATGTCTTTCCAAGGTCTTCCCGACATCAGTACTCATTGGTAAATGATAATAAATTTATCTCAATCTTCCACAGCGAACAAACTTCACGATGCTGAATTGAACTTGAATATGGCATTGATGACGTTACGTCAAGGGCAAGCACTCGCCTCGGAATTGTGACCCACTCAGGGTTCACTAACTAGTTAGTGAATTAGTTTCAGTTATTAAGGGTTATTGAAAGCATCTCATTGAGTCACAGCACACAACCATTATTATTTTCGGGCTCCAAGCTGGATCATCGGCTAAAAATAAAACTGGAGACTGCTAGTACTCCGTGTTCCCACCATCCACCATTTTCCATTGGACGAGTCGTCTGTATATGGATTTCTCGAATCCTTCGAGAACCGGGCCAGACGATACAACCCTACAGAGAACCGTGACGGAGGCGAAACTGAGCTGCGGGTCTGCCTTTTCCGTGGAGATACAAAATACAGGCCAGATACACGATTAGTACAGTCCTCGCACAGCCGGTTAATTCCGCTTCGCAGATTCTCACTCCAATCTAGGTTACCGTGGTCAAACTCTCAAGCGAACGACCCCAGACAGGCCCTAAACAAGTGGGACAATTCCCGATCCAGCATATGCTGCCACTCCAATAAGAATGAAACTCGCACGGCGTCGCCGGCCGCCCTTGCCGTTATCAGATTGGACTCCGGTTTGCCCTGTGCTATTACTGCAGCCATCGGTGCGTACCACACAGACTCTCCCTGTCACTGGATGCTGCGTATGCAGGTAGCCTGACCTTCCTGCGCCGGTGCATGCATAGCCTTCAATTGCTACACTGGCGTAAGGAACTGCCTCGCGACACGTGTCACTCCTGTTCATGTCTATAATCTTTTTTTATTTTCCTTTTGAGTGCAAGCTGTTGTTTGACAGAGCCACTGGATTTGATTAGGGGCAGTAAGCCGAACTAACTGCCTGCACGGCGTACCAAATAGAGGCGGTATCTGCCTTGTTGTGTCTGTTCTCGCTTTGTTTCACGGCATTTTGACCCTGGTTTACATGGAATTTTGTGCCTCGTTGCATCATGTCGCGCCATTTGTGAAGGTGTAATTTTTATTTGTGTCCCTTTCACCTTCAATGACAATGCGTCTCGGGACCGGTTTTGATTGCCAGGCTATTCATTTGCCGCGAATCTCCCCACTTGAATTAGTGATACATTATCCGGATTCGCAGGGCCTCAATCTATACGAAACCTGATAAAGGAAGCAAGTAACGGACATTTATATGTCGCTCTCTCGAAAGATAGCCGATGTGAGAGAAGGGGCTGGTATCACCAGCTAAGATGATGCCAGAAATTCTGTCTCTCACGTCGGAGCACTCTTACAAGGCTGCGAGCAGCACGACAACACCCACTAGAACCACGCAACAATCAACAATGCTTCTGGAAATATGTGTGAGATAAACACCATCATTGGACCTGGTAACACAAGGCCCTGGCAAAAACTCAGGCGCAAGCCAGATCGGCGAGAAATGCTAGCAAGATTGACTACTAATCGCCTGATGTGGTACAGACGCCTGACACCCGCAGAGGACCAGGAAACTTGCCCTGGGCCGTGAGGACGAACCGAACGAGGCTCATTGGAAGTACTGAGTGGGCTCAGGTCTTTCTATTTTCTGCTTATTGCAGGTCACTCAGACGACGCTGGTCTACCCGGCACGGAAATTATTCCATGACGATGGATACGAAAGGTCCTCGTAGATAGCGGAATCACACGGCTCACTGGAGACCCCCCGTGACCCAAACATATCCTAAACCGAGTCAACAATCTGACGCCATACGGCTTATTCTTGTCCGCATCTCCTTGTCGGATTATTTTCATGGACTAATCGGATGGAAAGAGTTTCGAGTCTTGACACGTCAGAGACCCGTGCCGGAAGTGCTCGGTCTCGGGAGGACGGCCGTGCGCTGGATCTTGAATCTCGTTTATATGCCGTGTTTTAATTTGAGGCTCTAGGCACCATGTGGAGCTTGTGTGCGTCGAGCAACTGAGAGACTCGACTTAGGATAGCGGAATGAGCGGGCTTGCAGCGTGCTGTGTGCAATTTCCTGGTTTTAGAACAAAATATAGTTAGCCTGAGCGGTAGTCTGATCTGGTCATTGGTTCAGTCACGGCAGCGGAAGGCCAATAGATAGTTAATGTATCGATTGGAAAACCCTCAATTCTTCGAATCAGAGGGCATGTGTTCCATACTGTTATTCATGGCTTCAGAATGGTCGAAGGTGAGCGTAGATTCGTAACAAGTCAAGAAGGGCGCCTTGGGCAACCACGAGTGCAGCAAAAGTCACCTGCTCTTTCCCCAACTAACTGAACTCGCCAACTCATCCCATCCCACTTGGACTCCCCCTCCTTCTTCTCAACTTCCACCTCCATCCATCAATCAGAATCAACAAGATAGACGGACAGCCACTTAGACGCTTAGATCTACATCCTCAAGTCCGTGTACAACAGACACCTGACCAAAATCGACTATGGACCTCTCCAAAGCAGTCGATCGTTCCTTCACCAAATCCCTTCCTAAAATCGAGGCAAGTAAATACCCCGTGCAAACACGCTTCATTCGAATCGAACCACCCTCCAGAACCAGCAAATGAAGCACAAACAAGGTGGATCACTAATGTGTGTCGTCCCACAGCTCCATGCCCACCTCAGCGGCAGTATCAGCCGCCAATGTCTCCATGAGATCTGGCTCAAGAAGAAGGCCCAAGAACCCGGCTTCAGCATTGAAGATCCATGGGTAACCATGCCGCCTGGGAAGGTAGATTATTCGCTGCAAACGTGGGTAGTCCCTCCACTCTCATACATGCATTCAAAACACTTTCCACCAACCTTTAATATCCAGATTTTTTCAATCCTTCAACAAATCAATCTACAATCTAGTCAATGATCTTGCCAGCCTCACCTACGCCACCCATTCCGTGTTAACCGACTTCCAAAACGACGGCGTAACTTACCTTGAACTCCGCACAATTCCCCGTGCATCCCCCTCCTCCTCCTTCACCCGGGAGGAATATCTTACTACTGTTCTTGATGCAATCTCGGATTTTCAGGCCAATCAATCCCCCAGTTCCCCAAAGATGTCTGTATATCTGATTCTGGCTTTGGACAGGGGCCATCACACTACTGCTGAGGCCCTGGAAATTGTAGACTTGGCGCTAGCCCACCGCGCCCGTGGCATCGTGGGCATCGATGTCTGTGGCAACCCAACCAAGGGCGATGTTTCGGTGCTGCGAGAGGCTTTTGCGAAAGCCAAAGCTAATGGATTAGGCGTGACTGTGCATTTCGCCGAGATGAGGGAGGCGGCGACGCCTAGAGAATTAGAGACACTGTTGGAGTTTCAGCCGGATCGGCTGGGCCATGTGATTCATGTGCCCGAAGAGCTGAAACGGGAAATTGCGAGGAGACAGCTCGGACTGGAATTGTGCATGTCATGTAATGTGCACGCAAAGATGTTCGACGGTGGCTTTTTGGATCATCATTTCGGGTATTGGAGACGGAGACATCAGGACTGCCCGATTGTGCTTTGCGTGAGTCTCTGCCACTTTCATTTTGCCAAGTCGCTCTCGTTCTTTTACACGAACCGCCAGCTGATACTTGTGCAGACCGACGATGTAGGATTCTTTTGCAGCCCCGTATCGAATGAGTATCTGTTAGCTGCAGAGCACTTCCAGCTCACGCGGGCCGATGTGCTGGGCATCTGCAGAAAATCCTACGATGCGATCTTCGGAGGCGAAAAGGAGAAGGACCGTCTTCGACGTCTAGTATCTGACTTCGAGGCAAACTACAGCACATAGCCGTTGATCCAATTATTTATGTCATTATTATTGTACACCAGGCCTCCTTGGCAGAGTGAGTCAATCAGCAAGAAGCAATGTACACAAACAAGCACACCCTCCGAATCAGCTCTGCCATCTGAGTTTGCCTTCCTTCAGCGTCTTGACCACCCCCACAGGCATAGACTCCCTATTCACAGCTGCTAAATTCCCGTAAGTCTTTACCATCTCTTCCTGATACAACTCTGCCGTCCACTGCCAATATGCTGACATGCTATACCACATGTCCGAGATCGCCTTGCGGCCACTGGTATCCTTGGTAACGCTCTCGTCCAGAGACATCTGGTTTCGATGCAATTCTGGGGTCAGGCTGATGCTGATCTCCTTAGGAACACGGATCAATTCCGTGTATGCCTCCAAAAGTGGGCGGCTATAGGTTTCCGAGTACCGGGTGTATTCCTCCAGAGTCATGTCAGCCAAGTCGTCGTCAACTTCAGTTCTCAGCGAAGTAGATGGCTCAGCAGAAGTCCCTTCGTCAAATCGCCGCTTGCAATCGTGGTATTCCACCTCGTATTGCACAAAGGCCTTATGCAGCCGACCCTTAGGTGTTGCTTTAATATTCTCGCGCATGGCGAGGAAAGGTATATAAGGGTTCAGGAGCTCCAGCCCGCCGAATTCTACAGGAAAGTAGAAAAACCCTTCTGGGAGGTCCTCAACACCAAATCGATCTGCGATCACGTGGCGCAGATAGTCGGTTACTCCACTGGAGGTTTCGGGAAACAAAGTGCGTTCAATACGACTCAGTGTAGATATGGCCATATCTATATGGCTTCTCCCAAAGCACATGGCTGGTTTCGCAAAGTTGTTAGCGAAAAACCGCCCAAAGTAACTGTTCCATGCCTGGACCCATGAGAAGACACTCTTGCAGGATGAGAGCTGGCGCTGTAGTTCCGCAATGTGGCTGTCGACCTGTTCTTGATCGATGACAAACCGACCTTCTGAAGGATCCAGCTTCAGGAATCCCCAGCGGATATCTCCTCCAGGCAGGGGATCCGACTCTTCCTTCTCCTGGGAGCCACTAGGTCGACTTTGTTGATCTTCCACGTCTTTGCCCTTCAGGCGCACCGTTCCCGTTTTCTCCTCGTTTATCTCTAAGCCCATGACCTTGGTAAATTCTTCCATTGTAGCCCAGGCTTTGACACAAGTCTCTTCGTGACCCCAGAACCAGAAGTCATCATGCAGCCGATATAGATAAGCCCGTCTGTGCTTTGGTTCACCGCAAAATCCATGCAGAACAAGACGGCCTCCCCAAAACAAGTTGAAAGGGCATGGCTCATAGGAATTCCCCGGTTCCGAATTCGTCTGGAAGCACCTGAACCGTCGTGTACAAACGTTACTGGAGTTCTCAAAAATTTGTGGAAAAAGTCAAGCCAGAGTTGCGGAACGCCAAAGTACTCCAATACAACCAGTATTGTAGTATGCGAGAGAGAGGGCCCAAACCACTTGAAATCAGATCTAATAGCAGTGAATCGGCCGTGCAACGAGGTATATAGGAGAGATTCGGTAATCAGAAGATGTAGCAGCGAGTGCTTCGTTTCCAGTGGGTTCTTCTTTGCGTTATCAAGCTCCGTGTCCTCGCCATATGGGTTCATGTTCGCATCCACCGAGGAAGGTAGGAGGCTCATAAAGTAATCTTGTTTGTAAGTCTCCTTCCGGTGGTCGTTGACACTCGTTGTACCAAAGCCTTTGGCATTTGTCCCCGTGAATCGAGAACGACGAGACATTTCGCGCCTGGAAATTTGTTCGCGAAGAAACTTCCAAGCTGGCGTGTTGAGAAACGAGGTGAAGGCAGATTGAAATGTCACTGACCATTTCAACCCCAGGTATTCGAGCATAAGACCATCCAGCAGGTCTTCGTCCATGAATACCCGGTATTTACCATTCAGCTGGCGGCGCATTTCTACCGGGATACCCTCTGCGGGCCAGCTCCAGTTGTCAAGAGAGGCAAGGCGCATATTGAGAACATCCGCGACCTCCTGGGCGACTGCCGGGTTGCGCATGAACTCCTTCAGAACGGCCATCTTTTCTTTGGTGAGCAAATCGGACTTCAGCAATGAATCTGAAACCCACTTGAGGTCGCTGACCTCAAGCCAAGATTTCTTCGAAGCAAAGTCATTTCCGAATGTCCTGACTGCCTCCCGCAATTGCTTCAATGCTTGCTGTGAGGGCGTTGTTGCTTTGAATAGACTGTCAAGGTAGGCTTTGATGGCAGCCCCATCTACATCTGCCTCTGTGAAGACCAGGGACTCCCATGTGGCTCGCTGTTCGTGCATTTCTGACCGACCAATATTTTCGAAAGCCATTTCTTGCGACCCGTCCTCGTCCGTTGCGGAGCCAGAAGCAGCCACCTCTTCGAAGTCACGCAGCCATTCCGTGACCAGCTCGCTATAGAAGTCGGCATGCTTATGCCTTAGCTCAAGGTAACTGAGCTCCTTTTCGAGCTGGGCAATCCAACCTTTCAGGCTGCGGTCTGAGACAGAAGGATCATACTTGCTTTGCAGAAGAAAGCGACGAATATTAGCGTGAGTAGCGCGCTCAGTCTGATCTACAACGGCAGATTCCTCATTAGATGAGTCGTCCGTATCTAGGTCCTCCTGGTCAAGTGCATCATTAGGGAATCCCTTTAGCTTGGTTACACCTTCCAGGAGGACTTGGGCCTTTGATCGTAGACTGGGGGCATCCTCGGCAGCTTGTACAATCTCTGCTCTTCGCTTCTCGAACAGTGTTCGTTGTTTCGAGAGTTCCTTGATTTTGGTAGCAGTGATGGAACCCAGTGTTTGAGGAAGAGCCCCGCCAGACAACATTTCTTCAAAATGCGGTGGTGGTGAGCGTGCTTTGAGAGGACCGAGAAGGGAATAGTCCAAACTTGGTGACGACGACGTAGCAGCTGAAGGGTAGGTGAACAATGAATAAAGACCAGTTCAGAAAAGTTAAAATCTTTTTCACAATCCTTTGTCTTTGTGAAATGATTCGGAGCTAAATTTTGCTTAGGAGGTGAAATATGGGATCGATCGACTGAAGATGATCGGCACGGAGCAAGAGCGATATGCTCCATATAAATAGCCATATGTGGGACCCCGTGACTCAGGCAGAAAATCTTGACAACGAAGCTTTCAAGGCGATCCTAACCAACTGAGTTGGTCATTAGAGAGCCCAGTCCGACAGAATGCCATGGTGTGGACATTGTCGGTTCCAGAAAGGGACCCCGACCTTCCAGAAAGGGATCCCGACGCGCCGACCGAGTCATCATCGGCAGCCATCTACGGCGCTGTGGACAATCGTCTGAGTTCTAGCCAACAGTCGTCATACTGCATTTCCAGCCAGCTCTTTCCCCGCAGACTTCCTACGCTTCTGATCTGCCATTGTAGGATGAGTCCCATCACCGCTTTGGCCAGTACAATCAGTGCCAGGTCCTTCCCAACGCAGCCTCGCGGACCCTTGCTAAAGGCTACGAACTTTGTTTCCATCTGCCGCCTGTGTTCAGCATCTCCAATCCATCGCTCCGGAATCCATTGATCAGCATCGTCTCCCCAGATCTCTCGCGACCGACTCAAGACATAGGTATTCGCAGACACTGTAGTGCCGACCGGTAGCGGTGTTGACAGGCTGGGAATGACACGTTCAGCACTCGACATGATCACTCGAGGAAATGCTGTTGGAAAGACTCCTTGAAAACGCATCGCCTCTTTCATCACGGCCTGTAGCTCGAGGGGGATTGTGGCAGCCGTTATACTCTGACTCGAGACTGCTCCTTTCCTGCGAATTTTATCCTGCCAGACCTGTCCTTCTTCCGAACCCAAATGGTATACAATAGCCGTGAGAGCGGCCGCCATGCTCCCGGGACCTGCGAAGACCATATTCATAGCTTCAGCTAGGACCTCGGGCTGTCTCATACGATTTACGTCGTCAACAGGGACTTCGAGCCAGCTTTTCACGATTCCAGGCTTTGGAGATTGCATAGCATGTTGGGGATCCCGCATGATTGCCCTGTGAACGGCAGCCGCGAGCCCAGTCATCCCAGTCTGTGCCCCATCTCCGTTGTAAAAAAGGCTGCGAAGCAAGTAATTGATGGCCCAGCTATTCATAATCCGCCCGTAGATTGGCCAGAGAGAGTAACTCCATGCTCTCTTGGTCATCTTGCGAAGCTGCGAGCATATAGCACCGGCGGCGGCACTATCAGTATATGGGTTTGATGCTATAGCCGAGCCGAACAGGATTTCCAGCATTGTATCCAGGGTGAACCGAGATATCAAAGGAGCCACGTTTGCAGTTGCAATTGCTGTCCCTGCCGGTTGTCGTGATGCCTCCAATCGTGCCAAAAGGATTGCTACATGTTCTTCGATAACAGGCTCATACCTTGCTACTTTCGAACTGGAAAGAGCCGGCCCTAAAACCTTCCTTTTTTTGTGGCGGTGGATGGTATCCGACTTCGTTGAAAATATACTTGCTTCACGTTGGCTGGGACTCCGCCCAAACGCATAGAAGTCACCCTTCTCGACGGATTTGTTGAATCCATAGATGGCGTCAAAGTCTTCTAAGCTCGAAAAAGATAGCCAATTTGGGGCAACACGAACTACAGGACCGAATTTTTGATGAAGTTGCTGTTCGGCAAGATGGAGTCTGCCGGTCATGAACGTGAAAAACCGCCTTTAGACCCAACTAGTCAGCTCAAAGGCTTCAAGAATACGCAGGGGATATGAGTGGGTGAGCACGAACCACAGGTTCGTACAGCGGGCCCAGAAAGGGCCTGGGTAGGGTGCCAAAGGATGGAAGTAGCATAGGTAAACCATCCGACTAGCGAGAGTGAGCACTGTAAGCTGGGCTATAACGACAATTAGCGAGGCCATTGTGAGGTGTCATGACAGTCCTGATCCGGGCCAGCGACACGACGATTATCTGACGATGGTGATTTGGAAAGTTATGATGAGCAGCAGACTCCGGGTAGATAGGAGGTGAAGACAAGTAAGGCGAGACTAAAAGAGCTAGAGACCCCGCCACGTCACGCGATCTGTATGATGTACCTTAAAGCCCGCAGTCCAGTCGACACTAGCATAAACATCGATAATGATCTTTTTGGCTGGTGACGACAAGAGGTTTTTGGTGTTGATTCGCTCACTCTTTGCAAAGTAGGACTGGGCTCCAGGCACTGGAGGTCAGCTTGTCGATCCGCTAACCAGTATGGGCAAGTGTGAAGGACATCGACAGGCGACACTCAGAAATTGTACAATGATATCATATTGCTCATGTACTGTAGGCTGTTCGGTTCGCACGTAAGACCCCCATTTCCTGATTTATCTGTCTTCCTGTCAAACAGAGGTGGCACATCGGGGTTACAATTCTCAATTTCTCCGTCAAGCGCTCGTGATGATTTATCGGTCAGCAAGCCTTCGCTCGAGTATTCATTATTGTACCCGCATCATGCAATCTTATGCGTATATTCGGCTAAGAGTTCAAACCTTCAGAGCAATACCTGAGGCTCCTATTCCAGGCCGACAGGCCGACAGGCCGACCAAGCTGGCAAAGTCGCTTGGGCTGAGCAGTCTGCTGCATGGAGTCATTCTATGAGTTGACTGCCCGGTTAGCATTGAATTATTCCCAATTTCAAGTTGATTATAAAGAAAAAAGCAGAAGAGGATAGAGTAATGACAAGTAGGAGCTAAATAGGAAGAGCAATGAGGGTGTAAGAACTGGACATACCGCCTTCAACAATTTCATCTATTCCTTCAAAAGTCCTAAGCATAGCTGCTCTTGAACTGCGGAGCACTGTGTTGCTGATAAGAATTGAGAGTCAATAGCCCGCACACGTCAATACTACACACACATACAAGTTTCAGCAACAGGCCTGAGTAAAAGAGTGAGAGCGTACCTGGACAGATTACAGGGACGACCATCCTCGACAGTAAACAGCATTCTTGTCTTGTATGTGCATCACTCTGCACCGATGGCAATCAGCAACCATAGAGCAAGAAGTAGTACTGGAACGAACATTCGCTGCAGAGAGGTAGTAACTAGTAGATGCCACAGTGGTGAAGAACTGTCTCTCCCTCCTCGAGAACGCCGAAGAACCATGACATCCTAAAGGGGAAAGACCGATCTGAGCGGATCGCCAAGTGGGGAAGCAGCATCTGCACTATCTTTCCCCACCTACCTGATTGGGATGGACTTACTCTTTTACACATGGCATGGAATGCTACATTCCCCTCGGGTTCGATCACTTTGGCTAGAACTACAAGACCCTGGTAAGTATTGAGAAGTTGTTGCAGTATTGAAAGTGAAAAAAACAAGTTCGCTGGGTATGAGATTCTGGTCGTTCATGGCACTGTACTTATATGTACCTTCTCACGAAAAGTTATGCGTTCAGTCATTAGAATACAAATCAACAAACAAAGAAAAAGTCATGTCTCGTTCATTGCACTGATGAAGCGGTGGACTTCGGGTGCTTCTGGTCAACAGGAGCTTCGACGTCCAGCGGCTTGCCTGTCGGATGCTCATCCTCCAGATACACCTCTTGCCCATCCGCTACGGACAGACGGTCTTCGTCAGCGTCAATATCCGCCTCATGCCACTTGCTGCTGGTGGCAGGGAGGGGGAACAGCCGCGCCAATGCGTAATACATGACACAGGAGACGACGAACCCGGAAAAGTAGTTGATGTTGTAGATATACTGGGCTCCCACTGGCACGGTACGCCCAACTGCGCCGGCAAACCCGACAATATTAACAAGAATGCCTGCAAGGTACGAGGCGTATGCGTGCCAGGAGAAGCCGTAGGTGTAACGGTATGCTGAGTCATTTCCAACACTGTACAGATCTTTCACTCGCAGATACCCTTTCCGAACAAAGTAGTAGTCGGAGATCATGGGCCCGGCGATGGAAGAGAGGAAGATGGAGTAGGCTGAGAGGTAAGTGGTGAATGAATTGGATGAAGACGAAAGTTTCCACTAAGAGTCTATTAGCTTTTCTCAGACCACACAGACTATGAAAGAGAGAATAATCATACCGGACACATGCACAGGCCGATCGCGGCGCAGATATAACTACCCCGGCGGATGTTGAGGTATCGAGGCAGCAAGGCCGTCATATCGGTACCGGCAGAGACCGAGTTGGCAGAAATGTTGGTCCCCAGCTGGGCCAGAGCAAAGCCAGTCGAGATGACGAAGATTCCGAAGCGTTCGGCCGAGCTGGCGCCATCCAAAAACTGACCCAAAAGCGTCAACGGGTTCCACACAAAGTCACCGCCGAAGATGACAGCAGAAGAAGACGAAACGATGATGCCGATGAAGGAGGTGATGCCGAACCCGATCGGGATGGTGAGTAGCTGGGACCACAACGCGTCTTTCGGCGACCGAGAAAATCTCGAGAAATCCGGGTCATTTACAATCAGCGTAGCGAAGTTGCCCAGACAACTCATGATAGACTTGACTACCGCCCAGGCCAACGTGCTTCCGTGAGCTGTGGCGGGTTGGTGCACGATCGGGCCAATTCCGTTAGCACGGGAGATGGCCCAGGCAAAGAAGGCGATGGCGGCGATGGGAGAGTAGATGGCTTTGACGGTAAAGAGATGTCTGATCTTATGGACCGGGAACCAGAGAGCCGGCAGTGATAGGAGCCAGAACAGGAAGAAGCTCACAAAGTCCTTGGTGGTAACGCCAGAGCTTGCGGGAATATGATTGGGGATATTTCTATAACTTGGCCAGATGGCCTCGATCATCAAGGTCACGCACTCGCCTAGTACTCGGGGTTAGCTTTGCTCATCCGGAAGAAGATTGTTGTACTATGAGCTCTGGTGGAAAGGCTTACCTCCGATATAGCCCTGAACACCATACCAAACGACAGCCATTGCCGCCCGGTTGAAGACGGGCCAGAAAGAACCCCATATCCCAAAGCTAGCTCGACATGCGACCGGGAATGAGATGTGATAAACTGCACCGATGCGACCGGTCAAGCAGACAAAACAAGCGGCGATGAAATATCCGACCCAGACACAAATCCATGCCTGCCACCAGGACAGACCGTCGACAATCATCGAAGATGAAATCATCCATGTGTTCTGTTATATGCATAGTACTATGTTAGTTCAATGTACAGTGTATGAAGACTTGATTTGACACCACAGCAGCACGAGACACTCACAATGTTTAGAGAGTCTGCAATCCAAAAGGCGATAAAGTTGTACCATCTCCATTCACGACGCTCGTGTTCGACTGCAGAGGGCGGAAATCAAATTTGCACACGGTCAGCTTCCAGTGTCCTCTTGTTGAATCCGGCTGCACAAGCACGGAGCGTCTCAATGTGATCCGCCTGCCAGTTTCATGATCTCACCTGGCCGCAAGTCACGGTTCGTCAACATCAATTGCGTATTGGTCAACCCGGGCTCCGTAGGCACCTCGAGCTTTTCGATCCATTCTTTAATTCGAGGCATCTCTGGCCTATGTGGTATATTGACAAACGACAGAATTTGGAACTGAAAAACCAAATGACGCAGCGACAATATGTACCGGGGGTGGTCGGAGTAGTAGGTTTGGTTTGTTGGTTATGGGGGTGGGGTTGGAGGACAATATTTCTTTTAGGGTTGGATGGGAGGCAGAACGGAACCACCAGGGTTCTATATGCTCGCAACAGAAGCCACGGAGGATCAGAAGATAAGAGAAGAGAGGTAATAATTTCTTTCACCAGTGCAGTCCCGACAGTCCCAGGGGGGTGAACGACGAGATATAAACACTTTTGTCCGTCTGGGCGTATACTAAAAGGAAGAACTGGAAGGCACTACTATCGGCGTCATCGCCCGGCGATGGGCCAATCAAGGCGGGTGCTGGGACAGATATGGAGCGGGTTCCATCATGGATTCTGGGCTGATAATGGCTGGATACGCCAGCATGACACCGAAGGTGAGTTATTCATTCACCCATGTCTTATTTCTGTGCTTTAATTTTTCCTTTGCCCTTTTTGACACAAGATAAGGATAAGAAAATTGGTCAAAAGAGGGCCGGGATCGACCTGGCCAGCGCCACCCATGTGAAGCGAGCTTATCGCCCTCCATGGGCCGTTTGTCGGACGGACCAGGAGCGCCGAGCACAAAGGACGATAATCATTTTCCATTGCTCGATCGGGTCGAGTAAGCATGAACGTTATCAGTTGTTCAAGGGAAGATATCGGGGCTTGTCTGCTGTTCTGCATCTCCACTGGTCCTCCGCAATCAGTCCGAGCCCGGGGGTGCCCCAGTTCGACCAGCGACTCACAGTCGTTCACGGGTCCACTTAGTGGCTAGGGCCTATCTAATCGCCAGGCCGGCTGACTCGATGCCATCGAGTAACTAAAAGGTTTGATTTGGAGCCCATCAGCAGATGCCGATGTTCCTGGTTTGCTTTCTTCGTCCGTCCCCCATTGTCGGCTGATAACCGGTTCCTCTCCCGCAACTTGAACCCGAGGTTCTCCTGCAAATTCCTCCCGCATGAAGCTTAAGAGTTCCCCAATCAAAAGGGGGTGAAAAACACGTTGTGTAAGTGCGGTCAGGTGATAGTCACCTGATGTGTGCATGCAGTTTGACGAGTTCTTATACTATCTCAAAGTATTAGTGAGTTAACTAACTACTAATTGTAATGCTAATTAATCATTCTCAGTTGATTGATTAACTAAAGTAGTTAACCAAGCACTGGGGACACCTGAAGAGTAAGTCTAACTATATGATCGACCACAGGCGCCTTGAAATCCGTTCGCATGGTCTAGTTTGCCCTGACTACGACATCATACTACTACCATACTACCACCACAATCCATCCGGGGCCCCCAATACTATAGATCCATTCCCGTCATCTGCGCGCTGCTCCCTCCTCCCCCCTCCCCTTCGTGCACCACCATCTTACACACGCAAAGAGACGCTTGCATATCCAGTCTTGCCCATCGCAACTGAACCATGAAAGAAGAGGGAAGTAAAAAAAAAAAAAGCAAGAAAGAAAGGAAAGAAAAGAAAAGAAAAGAAAAGATATTTATCAGAATTTCTCCAACATATTCAAGAACGCTCTCTCCGTCTCATTTCGCTCATACTTACTACGTGACTGCTTCCCAAAACTAACCAGCAAACAATTTACACTTTCTTCCTTGACCAC